CGTCCGTGCTCCACCTCCAGTCCCTTCTCCACTCTTTAGGCAGCAATCGTCTAAAGCGATCCATGGATCATCTCCTCTATCTCTTTCTCTGCTTTTGGAGGATTTTGATGTTAGTTTCTAACTCGCAGGTACAATCTAGATTTTCCTTTAGGGGGGATTTGATGATTCCCTTCATCGCAGTCATGAGCTCCTCGATCTAAACTCCCCCCGTCTCCTCCTATCAAGTGTGGCAGTCTTGAATCAAGGAAACAGCACAGCTTGACAGATCCCTGTGAAAAGTATCTCCCTGAGTCCTTCCTTCATCGATCCCTAGGGCACCTACTCCTGTCACTTCTCCAGTCTTCACGCACAGCAGGGTAGGTTGGATTGGGCTTGAGTAAGGAGGAGCTTGGGTACTTCAGCCTGCAGCTGCTAATGGGAAGGGACAACAGAGAACGAAGCTGCCATGAGGTGGCTGCAGATCTCTTCACAAAACTTCTTCGCGACTCCTTCCTCACCGATCCCCAACACTGCTCTTCATGTCCCTTCTCCAGTCTTCACGTACAAGCATCTAATCTAAATTAAACGTTCCAAGTTTCTTGATTCCCTTTCTCTACAACCTTTGAATTTGTTATCCACTAATCCCAACATGCTGCAATCCATCTTGGCTAAGGAGGATGTCTTTCCAGCTTTCATGCCACGTACGACCAAACAACAATATATACCATGGAAGCAGCGGACATGTGCCAGAGAACCCAATGCAACAAATGCAATTTCTTTTAGATCGGACAATCGGCAATATTAGTGAAGCTGTAGAGGTGAGGAACTATGTCAGGCTTATTGCAGGTATGCAAGAAGCAACGACAGAGTTGGTTTTTGCTTTTTGGGATTTTTATGTTGTGTGTCCTGGAATTTCAGGCTTGGTCTCTATTATAATGAGCAAGTGCAGCCTAGGGTTGCGTTATGGGGGCTGGCCATGATGTGTGTTCTTCAATTTTAGACAAGTATAGATACATATCGAAGTAGTGAATTCAATTCACCGCACAATGAACTAGAGCATCTCTTCTGGAAAGTAGATAGGTTGTTTTAGATCATTAGATGTTATGTCCAGTTTACTTCTCTGTTTATTTCAAGAAAAAAACTAGGTGTTTGCTTACTTGGACCTGCTCCATGTTATGCTCACCCAATGATGCAATAGGATATGTGCTTTTTAGAAACTCAAATTATACTCTGTTCTGATGGAATTTTTTGATAGTGTTGTTTTTGCAGACATGGAGTGTACATGCATTCAAGAATTCAAGAAGGCGTGGTCCTGAGCAGTATTTATTTGCAGCAACGTGGGAGATCAAAAAATGATGCTCAAGTTAACCTCTCGGTATATATTAGTGGCGAAGCTATTCACCTCCTCGACACCAAAATCGCCAGTCTCTCCCATACCATGACTCAACAGGCAAAGTAGCTCTACATCCCGATGCATGTTGTGTGCAGTCAGGAAAAGGTAGTATAACTAATGTTTAATCAGTTACTTAATGAAATATATACTAAAGGAAATAATCATGTTATACGTTTCAGATTAATGTTGAAAGTGTGTAACCTCTTTGCCACAATTCTTCCTTTTCACACAATAGGGAAAGAAGGACTGTACCGAAAGGGGCGCTCACTGAGCGCGTCATTGCGGATTACCTGACCGAAGCCCAAGCGGTGAAGATGATAATCAGGCCAAGAGCCCTCGCCGAGGACGTATAATGGCTGCCTGAGCTTCTCATCCACACTTTGCCTGCATCCCATGTCACCAGGTGCAGGTTCATACAGTTCTATTTATGTACATAGATATAGGACTACAGGTTTAATTATTAGGACAATTTTTTATCGGTACTTTACACCTTTTCGCATGGTGCATTGATGGTGAGCTCATATAACTTTGGTCTTTGGAACATGGATAATATAATTAGTTGCAGCGGGGCTAAGCTCAGATAGGATTACTGATGCCTACACACACACACACACACACACACTGCCACACACGGTGTGATAATGGTATGTATGGTATATGATATATGTTTTTATTTTGTGCCTATATGAAAGAGAGCAAAATCATACCAAAATCAGTAGGAGTCAAAATTTATTGTCGGGAATGGTGCCACTACGAGGTTTTGGGAGGATACGTGGCTTGGAGAGACTTCCCTTGCACTTCAATATCCTACTTTGTACAACATTGTGCGACGTAGAGAAGCCCACGTTGCAACTGTTTTACAATCCACTCCCCTCAATATTAGTTTTCAGAGGACGCTAGTTGGAAATCGTTGGGAGGCCTGGCTCCACCTTGTTAGACATTTGATGGAGGTCCGGTTGTCCCAACAACCAGATCAGCTGTATTGGAAACTTACTAAGAACGGCGTGTTCTCGGTTAAATCTATGTATCTGGATGTCATTAACTCTAGCGTTGTCCCTTCTTCGATTCACGTTTGGAAAGTAAAGGTTCCCTTACGAATCAAAGTGTTTATGTGGTTTGTGCATAAACAAGTCATTTTGACTAAGGATAACCTGACAAGACGCAACTTGATGGGCTCTTCTAGGTGTAGCTTTTGCGATCATAACGAAAACATCAAACACCTCTTCCTCGATTGTCCGTTGGCTAAAATTCTGTGGCGGTCGATTCATATTGCGTTTAATATTAATCAGCCCACCTCTATCAACATGTTATTTGGAGCATGGCTTGACGGAGTTGATTCCGATACTGCAAGACACATTCGTGTTGGCATTTGTGCTTTACTTTGGGCAGCATGGAACTGCAGAAATGATTTAGTATTTAACCGATCAACAAACATTCACTTTTTGCAGGTTATCTTCAGGGCCACGGCGTTCATCCGTATGTGGTCGCTACTCACTCCGATGGAGGCCAGGAAGCGTTTGGTTACTGCGTCTACCCGATGGGAGATGGTAGCGCGGGATATTTTCAACCGGTTTGGATGGCAGTCATGTAATAGGATAGGCATGTAGTGCTCCTATTGTGTTTGCCAGTCAGTTGTGGTTTTGGGCTGTAGCTCTTTCGAGCCTTTTGTTTATTTTCGCACCTCGATACTTGGCGACTTTGCTATTAGATTATGCTTTTAATAATATGAGCCGTATGCATCATTCTGATGCAGAGGCTGGGGTAAACCCTTTTAAAAAAAAAATCAATCCATGATTTGCTGTAGTAATGTAAGGGGAAACAATTAAGCTACATCTATGAATCACGCAAGAAAAATATATCTTATACATCACTATGTATAGCATACATATGATATGCGTACATATGCATTTGTTAAGTCTTACAATGGAAGTTTCATTGGGAAACTCTTCAACATAAATGAACAGAAATCCAGGTTGTCTGCCTCGCGTTATATAGTGTTAAAAAATATAGACAGGAAGGATCGTCTTTTTTTTTTGTTATCTAATATGAAAAACCAGTTATTTCTTTTGTGTTATCTATATAACATTCCAATGAATTTGTCGTATATCACCAAAACAAAATAAATGTCCTTCTTTTAAGTGTTCATCCCGCATACATGAGCCAAAATGCCTCTTTTTGCAGAAATATAGATATCTGGAATAAGTTGTTTCTTCCAATTTTAATTTTCATGGTTATATAAATATGAACATAATGACGAGCTATTTATGTTACAATACAAATAGCGATGCTATGATTAAGACTCAGACAAAATAATTTCACTATTACATGTCCTTCATGTCGAAGAGAACGATATTTATCATTTATAATGTCCTTGATATATAATAACCATGCATGATTCCATATTGTATTTTTGGGAATGTATGTTCCGCCAAACTAACTAGGTACAAAATCTCATGACCTCAAATATTCCTTCCATTATTCTATTTTGAGTTTCCAGTTTTATGGTCCTAAAGTGGCCATCTTTTTTTATTCTAAATCTATGCCATTCAAGGATCAGTCGAGAGATGTTCAAAACTTAATTATCTAATTACTATTACATTACCATAGAGTTATTCGTTGTTTTAAATAATGTTGTGTTTACAAAATCACTAGCCCGTGCGTTCGCACGGGGTTGATGACTAGTCTTGCATAATTCCATAGGTGAATCAAAAGAAAAACAAATTAACAAATGCTTGTTCTACATCAAGTTCTCTATTTTCCCTAATGACAATGTGCATGACAATTGACAAGATACTGTTAATATTTATATTATCATAAATTAAGATATGTTGGTAGCTGAATCTATCAGACTCATTATTGTTTCATTCTTTTGAAGGCCAGGGCGGAACATGGTATGGAATCCCTTGGTTTGATACAAAGATGGCGGTAGATTGATCCATTTCCCGAAGGTCAGCATGAAGCATGGGATCTTCTGCTCATTCCAACATGATGGCTCAGCGTATCCATGGGGAGCAGAGTTAGCATGAAGTGAGGAAGGGGAAGAAAAAATTATTATGTATTCTCTCCAGATGGAGTGGAGAAGAAACCACATGACTATGCAGAAGAAAGCCTAAGGAGGAGTATTTAATAAAAAACTACCACAATTCATGGAACCGCGTCTACAAACTACCACTTTACAAATTTCTGTGAAAAACTACCATTTTTTCACTAATCTTTGACAAAAAAACTAGTGACTAAGTTGGACGAAATTAAACTCGATTATGACAGGGCTGGCCCACACGTAAGCATTGACCCCGCACCTCTACCCCCTGACCCCGCACCGCACAAGTCAGGGCTCGATCTGGCCAACGAGGCAGCCGCCGGCGCCGCGGGACCCGGCGAGCGTGCGCCCCCCATCTCCTAGCGAGGCAGCCGCCGGCGCCGCGGGATCCGGCGAGCGCCCACCCTGCATCTCCTAGCGAGGCAGCCGCCGGCGCCGCGGGATCCTACGAGCACCCGCCCTGGTGATGGAAGTTGTTCACCATCAGCTGGTCGCCGTTGAGCAACGACTCCGCGGACCAGTCATGCAGCGGCTTGCCGGGGAGCACGCGCACAGGGTGTCGTGCCCGTCGTAGTTGGCGTAGTCCATATGGCAGATGGCGGCGTCGGCCTGGGGGTGGAGCTCGTGCCCGACGTCCTGGTAGAGGGAACCGCCGTAGGCGACGTTGAGCACCTGCGAGCCGCGGCAGATGCCGAGGAACGGGACGTTTCGCTCCATGCAGCGGCGCACGAGGAGGAGCTCGATGGAGTCCTTCTCGTGGTCCACGGCGGCGTCGCTTGGGTGAAGGCGCCGCACGGCCTCGAGCTGCTCCAGCGAGAGCACGTCGCATCCATCATCGCCGTCGCCGCGGGCGTCATAGAGGGAGGGGTCGATGTCCTCGCCCTCGCAGAGGAGCACGCCGTGGATGGGCTCGTAGGAATCGAGCATGGCGTGCACTACTTAGTGTTCTTGATGGCGCAGAGAACTCATCACCGGCGGCGACGTGTTGGTGCTCATGAGGTGTTTGTTGAAATGCCAAATACAGAGAGAGGGGAGGAGGAAGAAGAAGATTGGTGCGGACATGCGGGCCCCACTTGTAATAATGATCAAAATCGAGTTTAAACGAGTCGAATCGGGCACTTTCCATACTTGGTAGTTTTTAGTCAAAGATTAATGAAAAAATGGTAGTTTTCCGCACAAATTTATAAAGTGGTAGTTTGTAGGCACGGTCTCATCAATTGTGGTAGTTTTTTTTTGCTAAATCTATCTATCTATCTATCTATCTATCTATATCTATACCTATACTAATTACAGACTTTCAAGAAATTACCACATTAATTAGATTTTACACGTTGTTCATCTAGTGGGACCAAATTATTACGGTGTAGATCTAATCATAAAATCCTCAGCAAAAAAATTGTGAAAACAAAATAAAAAATACTAATGCCGTTATTAGATCCTAAATCTAATGGTTAAGATCTATAATGCCGTTATTAGATCCTAAATCTAATGGTAAAGATCTAAACAACAACTAATCATCTCTCATACGAATTCTGCATGTAAAAGTAGGCCTATCACAGCAGATACACGTAGCTGACCAAACATGTACATAATTACTATACAGAGTCCATGCGTTCTATTCCACCCATTGGATAAAACCCCATGTCTTCTCCGCCCCGGAGGCATCTCCTTTCTCCTGTATTTCTTTTCATCGGCGGCTGTGTTAGATTATATCCAGTTATAAATCTAATTGCAACAGGTCATGGTGGATAGGCCTGGCCTCTTCCTCCAGCTGCCATCCTCATCTCTCTCTCTCTCAAAATTGTGAAAACAAAATAAAAAATACTAATACCGTTATTAGATCCTAAATCTAATGGTTAAGATCGATAATGCCGTTATTAGATCCTAAATCTAATGGTTAAGATCTAAACAACAACTAACCATCTCTCATACGAATTCTGCATGTAAAAGTAGGCTCACCACAGCAGATACACGTAGCTGACCAAGCATGTACATAATTATTATACAGAGTCCATGCGTTCTATTCCACCCATTGGATAAAACCCCCATGTCTTCTCCGCCCCGGAGGCATCTCCTTTCTCCTGTATTTATTTTCATCGGCGGCTGTGTTAGATTAGATTCAGTTACAAATCTAATTGCAACAGGTCATGGTGGATAGGCCTGGCCTCTTCCTCCAGCTGCCATCCTCATCTCTCTCTCTCTCTCTCTCTCTCGCTTCTTCTTCTTCTTCTTCTTCTTCTTCTTCTTCTTCTTCTTCTTCTTCTTCTTCTTGGCCGTGGCAGATCGTCGTTGTCCACTTCAGCGATTTTATCTTGCACCAGTGTACCATTGTCCCAGAACACAAGTAGTAGACATGGTTGAAGGACCACAAATATCATGCTCTCTCATGCCTCCAAAAGTAAGATAATTCTTTGATTACAACTAGGTCTTGCCCTCGCCCCTTCTCATGGCGCCTCCCTCATAACCTGGGCATGGCTTGCTGCCCTAAAACTACCAGGCATGTCCACCAAGAGATTATCCCTGCACAATCGGACCTACGGCTCCATAGCCATGATCGACCGACCGTTGTTGCAGCCGCGCCGTCACCAATCTCCACATTCGAGGCCGCGAAGTCAAGATTAATCGATCTCCTCATCCATCCTCAGCTTCAAAGTTTCACCAATGCTGATCTACAAAAACAGCAACTCATGAAATCCGTTGTGTACATAATCTCTTCGCCTTCCATGTTCTGACCAAGTTGTAATCTAATGGTGATTGTTCATGCAGGTTAGGATAAGGTGTACTGATGGTCTTCTAAAGTAGATGGTGTTGCTGATGTATGTGGTGCATTGATAATTTGACAACCTACAAGAGGACATGTTGCACAATTCTACATGTAAAAGTAGGCCCACCGCAGTAGATACACGTAGCTAACCAAGCATGTACATAATTACTATACAGAGCCATGCATTCTATTCCACCCATTGGATAAAACCCCCGTGTCTTCTCCTCCCAGAGGCATCTCCTTTCTCCTGTATTTCTTTTCATCCACGGATGTGTTAGATTAGATCCAGTTAAAAATCTAATTGCAACAGGTCATGATGGATAGGCCTGGCCTTTTCCTCCACCTGCCATCCTCATCTCTCTCTCTCTCTCTCTCTCTCTCTCTCTCTCTCTCTCTCTCTCTCTCTCTCTTCTTCTTCTTCTTCTTCTTCTTCTTCTTCTTCTTCTTCTTCTTCTTGTCCGTGGCGGATCGCCGTTGTCCACTTCAGCGATTTTATCTTCCACCAGTGTATCATTGTCCCAGAACACAAGTAGTAGACATGGTTGAAGGACCACAAATATCATGCTCTCTCATGCCTCCAAAAGTAAGATAATTCTTTGATTACAACTAGGTCTTGCCCTCGCCCCTTCTCATGGCGCCTCCCTCATAACCTGGGCATGGCTTGTTGCCCTAAAACTACCAGGCATGTCCACCAAGAGATTATCCCTGCACAATCGGACCTACGGCTCCATAGCCATGATCGACCGACCGTTGTTGCAGCCGCGCCGTCACCAATCTCCACATTCGAGGCCGCGAAGTCAAGATTAATCGATCTCCTCATCCATCCTCAGCTTCAAAGTTTCACCAATGCTGATCTACAAAAACAGCAACTCATCAAATCCGTTGTGTACATAATCTCTTCGCCTTCCATGTTCTGACCAAGTTGTAATCTAATGGTGATTGTTCATGCAGGTTAGGATAAGGTGTACTGATGGTCTTCTAAAGTAGATGGTGTTGCTGATGTATGTGGTGCATTGATAATTTGACATGTTGCACAATTCTACATGTAAAAGTAGGCCCACCACAGTAGATACACGTAGCTAACCAAGCATGTACATAATTACTATACAGAGCCATGCATTCTATTCCACCCATTGGATAAAACCCCCGTGTCTTCTCCTCCCAGAGGCATCTCCTTTCTCCTGTATTTCTTTTCATCCACGGATGTGTTAGATTAGATCCAGTTAAAAATCTAATTGCAACAGGTCATGATGGATAGGCCTGGCCTTTTCCTCCACCTGCCATCCTCATCTCTCTCTCTCTCTCTCTCTCTCTCTCTCTTCTTCTTCTTCTTCTTCTTCTTCTTCTTCTTCTTCTTCTTCTTCTTCTTCTTCTTCTTCTTCTTCTTCTTGGCCGTGGCGGATCGCCGTTGTCCACTTCAGCGATTTTATCTTCCACCAGTGTACCATTGTCCCAGAACACAAGTAGTAGACATGGTTGAAGGACCACAAATATCATGCTCTCTCATGCCTCCAAAAGTAAGATAATTCTTTGATTTCAACTAGGTCTTGCCCTCGCCCCTTCTCATGGCGCCTCCCTCAGAACCTGGGCATGGCTTGCTGCCCTAAAACTACCAGGCATGTCCACCAAGAGATTATCCCTGCACAATCAGACCTACGGCTCCATAGCCATGATCGACCGACCGTTGCTGCAGCCGCGCCGTCACCAATCTCCACATTCGAGGCTGCGAAGTCAAGATTAATCGATCTCCTCATCCATCCTCAGCTTCAAAGTTTCACCAATGCTGATCTACAAAAACAGCAACTCATCAAATCCGTTGTGTACATAATCTCTTCGTCTTCCATGTTCTGACCAAGTTGTAATCTAATGGTGATTGTTCATGCAGGGTAGGATAAGGTGTACTGATGGTCTTCTAAAGTAGATGGTGTTGCTGACGTATGTGGTGCATTGATAATTTGAAAACCTACAAGAGGACATGTTGCACAATTCTGCATGTAAAAGTAGGCCCACCACAGCAGATACATGTAGCTAACCAAGCATGTATATAATTACTATACAGAGTCCATGCGTTCTATTCCACCCATTGGATAAAACCCCTGTGTCTTCTCCGCCCCAGAGGCATCTCCTTTCTCCTGTATTTCTTTTCATCCGCGGATGTGTTAGATTAGATCCAGTTACAAATCTAGTTGCAACAGGTCATGGTTGATAGGCCTGGCCTCTTCCTCCAACTGCCATCCTCATCTCTCTCTCTCTCTCTCTCTCTCTCTCTCTCTCTCTCTCTTCTTGGCAGTAGCGGATCGGCGTTGTCCACTTCAGCGATTTTATCTTCCACCAGTGTACCATTGTCCCAGAACACAAGTAGTAAATGGTTGAAGGACCACAAATATCATGCTCTCTCATGCCTCCAAAAGTAAGATAATTCTTTGATTACAACTAGGTTTTGCCCTCGCCCCTTCTCATGGCGCCTCCCTCAGAACCTGGGCATGACTTGCTGCCCTAAAACTACCAGGCATGTCCACCAAGAGATTATCCCTGCACAATCTGACCTACGGCTCCATAGCCATGATCGACCGACCGTTGCTGCAGCCGCGCCGTCACAAATCTCCACATTCGAGGCTGCGAGGTCAAGATTAATCGTTCTCCTCATCCGTCCTCAGCTTCAAAGTTTCACCAATGCTGATCTACAAAAACAGCAACTCATCAAATCCGCTGTGTACATAATCTCTTCACCTTCCATGTTCTGACCAAGTTGTAATCTAATGGTGATTGTTCATACAGGGTAGGATAAGGTGTACTGATGGTCTTTTAAAGTAGATGGTGTTGCTGACGTATGTGGTGCATTGATAATTTGACAACCTACAAGAGGATATGTTGCACAATTCTGCATGTAAAAGTAGGCCCACCACAGCAGATACACGTAGCCGACCATGTTCGGTTTCGTACTAATTTCAAAAAAATTCCTACGCTCACGCAAGATCATGGTGATGCATAGCAACGAGAGGGGGAGAGTGTGATCTACGTACCCTTGTAGATCGACAACGAAAGCGTTTGGTTGATGTAGTCGTACGTCTCCACGGCCTGACCGATCAAGCACCGAAACTACGGCACCTCCGAGTTCTAGCACACGTTCAGCTCGATGACGATCCCCGGACTCCGATCCAGTAAAGTGTCGGGGAAGAGTTCCATCAGCACGACGGCGTGGTGATGATCTTGATGTACTACTATCGCAGGGCTTCGCCTAAGCACCGCTACAATATTATCGAGGACTATGGTGGAAGGGGGCACCGCACACGGCTAAGAATATGATCACGTGGATCAACTTGTGTCTCTAGGGGTG